GGAATGGGGGAGGAGCAGGACGCAGTGCCTGTGGTCGAGGGTGGTGGGAGCTGGGTTCGTTTACGGAAAACCTGGGTGTCTACCTGTGTTTCAGAGGCATCATCGGTGAGTGGCGCTGCCTGCTCAGGCTCACAGTGCCGCACTCCCTTCGGATCACAAGGGCCCTATGCCCCATTTCACATGATGCAGGGACAGGTCTGCGAGCAGGACCACACTGGCTAGGGCTGAGGTCACCTTGTCTGAGTCCAGCCGGCGCCTGACCTTCCACCCTGCCTGGGCCCGGCCTGCCTGCCTGGACCGGCAGATGAGCGTGATGGGTAGAGGGGGCGCTGGCGTCAGTTTCCAAAGGACCCCCTCCCATGGGCGGCTACGCAGGCAGAAATACCACTCCCTCACAGTCCGCAGGCCAGAAGTCCGACCTCGAGCGCGTGGAGAGGCCGCATCGCGCTCGGGCATCGTAGGGTGACCGTGTCTTGTCTCTTCAGTCCGGACGGCTCTGAGCATTCTTGGCTTGTGGCCGCCTCCCTCCGGTCTCTGCTCCGTTACTCCACGGTGGCCTTGTCTCTGTCTGTCTTCGTCTCATTCTGTCTCTCTAAGGCACTGTCGCTTGACTAGGGTCACCTAAGCCCAAGCGTAGGTGATCTTAACATCGATTACAGCTGCCAAAGAGGTTTAGCAGATAATGGTCACACTCTGAGCGCCTCAGGGACGTGATTTAGGGGGTCGAGCGCAGAGTTAACCAGAGTACAGTCCACTAACGAGGAGGACACTGTCGTGGTCTGGGCGGCACGCTGTTGCTGGCCCGTATTGGGCGGTGGCAGGCGTCCCCTGCTCAGAACTGCTCCTGCCCCCGACTGGGCAGGCAGGGGGGTGCCCAGAGCCTCCAGGGGTGGCCACAGGCAGGAGAGAGCGAGTTCGCTCTGCTCCTCCTGGCACTGGCGGGGTTGTCCAGGGCATCCTAGGGGACTGAGGATGAGGCGTGGGGGCTCGCAGGATGTCTAGTCGTGGGGTGGGGGCACGTGTGCTAGGGGAGGAGCCCAGCTCCCTCCTGGGGAAGCCAGTCTGGTCACCCCTGAGTCCGGTGTCGGGAGAAGGGGGGAACGGAAGCCTGTGTGTCGAGCGGGTGGGACATGGAGGCACTGCTCGGGGATGGGGAGGACCTGGTCCCCCACCTCAGCCTTTGGCAGCCTCATTCCCCGGCATGTGCCCGGGGAGGAAAGCAGGAAGGTCTACGGGAGGCCTCGTGTCTGGCCCTGTGTCTGTGTGTTGCCGGGCTGGAGAGACTGTCACATAGACTGAACCTGGCCAGGCCCAGGCCGGCCCCAGACTCTGACAAAGCCTCAGGTGCTTCCAGCCTGGGTTGTGTGATGTGTTTCGGGGGCAGATGTTGTTAATCTCAGCCACTGGATTTCACGAAGAGAGTGATCAGCACCGCATCATGCTCATGCCAGAAAACAGGTGTCGTGGGCCACGTCCCTTGCCAGGGTGGTCCATCCTGCTGCAGAGGCCTGAGGCATTGGAAGCAAACTGCAGGGAGGCAGGGTGGGGCCCCTGGCGCATGTCGGAGCAGAGGGTGGCCTGGGGTGATGGTTGGAGCAGTGCGGGAGGGGGGATAGGGGCCTGGGTGATGGTGGAGGTAGAGGGTGGCTGGTGAATGGTGGGAGGGAGGGTGGCCTGGGGTCGTGGTTAGGGAGGCGGAGAGGTGGCCTGCGAGTATGGTAAGGGTGAGGGTGGTGGGTTGTGTTGTGTGTGTGTTTTGTGAGGTGGTGTGTGTGGGGTGGAGAGTTGGCCTGGGGTGAGTGTGGAGGTGGAGCGTGCTGGGTGATGTGGGAGCGGAGGTGCCTGGGTGATGGTGGGAGGCGGGGCTGTGTGGTGAGGGGGGGTGGCCTGGGGTGGGTTGGTGGGAGGTGGAGGGTGGCCTGGGGTGATGGTGGGAGGTGGAGCGTGGCCTGGGGTGATGGTGGGAGGTGGAGGGTGGCCTGGGGTGATGGTGGGACTCTGTCTGGAGGGTGGGCATTGGGAGCAAGCTGCTGGGGAGGCAGAGGGGCAGCCTCGGGTAATGGCGGGAGGGCGCCTGGATCCAGCTGTGCCTGATACATGTTTTTTTACTTACAGGCCCTCCCCAGCCACTGCCCCTGTTCCCAGTTCTCAGCCCAAAACTGAAACACCACAAGCAAGTCCCTTAGCTAAGCCATTACAGCCCACGTCTCCCCAGGCTTTTGGCCTCCCTTCAAGGACGGACCCACCAGCCCCCCTGAGCACGAGCAGCACCCCTCAGGCATCCGTGTCGCCCCCGGCAGGCAGGAGGAGCTTGGCCAAACCCGCGGGGGTCGGCAGGGTGGGTGCTGGCTCCAGGCCGAAGCCAGAGGCGCTGACGGCAAAGGGTAAAAGCACCACCTTAACGCAGGGTGAGTAAGGGGCTGGGACGCAGGAGGCCATGGGGGCCTGCAGCTCTGGGACTCTCCCCTGGCCAGTTTCACCATCAGCCCCGCCCGCCTTCCTCTCCGTCTCTGTCTCCGTCTCTGTCCTCTGTGACACCTGCTCACAGCCTCCTGGGGTCCTGGCACTCTCTCTGTACAGTGGCTGCAAACGTCCTCAGGGCTATGCTGTCCGCCAGCGCTGTTGCCCAGCCCACCCCACCCCATCCGCACCTCCTGTAGATGCCTGCAGCCCATCCCTGCAGCATCCCACTCAGCTCAGTCTGGCAGTGACACCTGGCGGCTCACAGTGGCCTGGCTTTGCTGTGGTCGGGCCTCCTGTTCTCCGCTGGTATTTTGCGGTTTCTGCCTGTTGCTTTGTTTGACAACGTTGCATTGTTGCTGTGGCACTGTGTCGCCACGTACTGGAGATGGCGCCCTGTGCCCCATACCTCCCAGTGGTGTCCCAGTGACAGCACCCTGTGCCCCTTCCGCTCCCCAGGTTGTGTCCAGGTGACAACGCCCTATGCCCTGTCTGCTCCCCCGGCTGGTGTCCTGATGACAGCACCCTGTGCCCCCCCCCCCCCCCCCCCCCCGCTGGTGTCCCAGTGATGGTGCCCTGTGCTCTGTCCCCCACCCCCCCCCGCTGGTGTCCCAGTGATGGTGCCCTGTGCCCCGTCCCCCCAGATGGTGTTCTGGTGACGATGCCCTGTGTCCTGAGGGCTCTGGTGCCTCCTGGGCTGGGAGCTCTTCCTGGGGCCTCCCTGGACCACACAGTCCTATTTTATGGGCTCACATGTTTTTGGGAACAGGGAGCTAGGTTTTTTCTAGGCACCTGGGGGTAGCCCACCACGGGTTAGCCCCCTGCGTGGACATGGCCAGGTTGGGCAGGATGTGGGTGTAGGGCTTGTGAGGCCAACCCTGTGCCAGCCGGGAGGCCCAGGGCACGGGGATGGCCAGGCTACCCAGCGAGCTGTCGGCTGTGCCAGGACAGACCCCAGGCTCCCGGCAGTCCTGCTTTGATGCATGGCTCTGTCTCCCCACCTGGGGGCAGCCGAGGTCCCCTTCCCCACTTTACCATGGGAGACTGGCCGTCCCTGCCATCTGGGGGTGCCTAGAAAAAAGCTAGAGGTTCCCGCGGCTTTATGGAGCTGGGCTGAGAACACACTGGGCTGCAAAGGGTTTTTCCAGATCCTTCCCTTCAACTGAGTTCTCATGGTTAAAGCCACACCCTGAGCCCTGCTGAACAGGACCCAGGAGCCAAGAAAGCCTGCAGACGAGCAGCCGCGGTTCAGGTGTTCCCCTTGCACAGGCGGACAGAGGATCAGAGTCCATGGGGCTCACCCTGCCATGTCCCCACCCATTTGGCAGAAGGGGAAGTTGAGGCCCAGAGGCAGGGAGAGACTCCCCCAGGGACACAGCACGGGAGACCCAGCTGGGTGCCCCTTCCCCTGACCCCCTGCATGGTGCTCCTGATGCCCACAGGCCAGCTGGCTGTGGGGGTGTCTGAGGGTGGAGTGGCTGTGGGAAGATGGCAGGGGGAGGCACAGCCCTCCCTGCAGACACCCCATTCCCAGCACTCCCTCCTTATACCCAGACCCCTTGCCTCCCACCCAGACAGGAGCACCAGCCCCCAGGAAGGCCAGGAGGATGGGCCGGCAGGATGGAGAGCGAATCTGAAGCCGGTGGACAGGAGAAGCCCAGCTGAGAGGTTAGGGATGGGTGGGGCTGGCCCAGGGCCTGGTACACCATAGGTGCTTAATAAATGCAGTATGTAATCGACCGATTGACGTGCCCATCCAGGGATGGACGCACCTCCCTGTGAGTAGCAAAGGCCAAGTCACCCCACCTGAGGGACATGGGGGCCGCTCTCCCTGGTTTGGGGAGAGTGTTTCTGTGTGCCTCACCTGGGCACGGCAGCCCCCGTGTGGGTTCACGCACCACGCCTGCAGCTGGGGTGGAGTCTCTCTGTGTGTGGGTCCCACGGGGGCCCAGAGCTCACGCCTGGAGTCTGGTTCGCACCACAGCAGGTAGTGGTGCACACACCTGTGTCTGTGGGAGGGTCCCAGCAGGTGTAGTCAGTGGGCTGGGAGGTGGTATTTGCTCAGAAGGCCACCTGCTCCCTCGAGCTGCTCTACACGTGGCCTGGGAGCCCCTCCAGGTGGGCCAGGCCTGGGGCTGGTAGCTCGGGTTCCGACCTCATGCCTTTTGCCCAGGACTCTGAAGCCCAAGGAACCACGGGCCCTGGCAGAGCTGAGGGCGGGGGAGGCCCCCGGGAAGGTCTCAGGCAGCTTTGCGGGGAGTGTCCACATCACCCTGACCCCCGTGAGACCTGAGAGGATGCCGCGCCCAGCCAGCCCAGGACCCAGCCTCCCAGGTACTGCTGGACGGGACCCAGGGGCCCCCAGGTGCCTAGCTGGCCATCCCCCTTGGGTGGGGTCCCGGGACTGGACCTGTAGTGCCACCTCCTGGGGTGTGTGGGAAGGGGCTGTGGTCAGCCAGAGGTGCTGGTGGTCCTGGGCAGGCTTGTGTGCATGTGTGTGCAACTGTGTTCGTGTGATGCATGTGTCTGTGTTCATGTGTGTGATGCATGTGTCCGTGTGTGCACCTGTGTTGATGTGTGATGCATGTGTGTATGTGTGATGATGTGCACATCTGTTCATGTGTGTGATGCATGTGTCAGTGCGTGCACCTGTGTTGTGTGTGATGTATGTGTGCATGTGTGATGCACGTGCATGTCTGTTCATGTGTGTGATGCATGTGTGTTCGTGTGTGCACCCATGTTCATGTGTGTGATGCATGTGTGTGCACACATCTCTCTGTGTATTCCCAGCACTCACAGGTGCCCTAGATCCATATCCAGCTCTCGTGCCACTTCCTGTGTGACCCTGAGCAGCCAGCATCCCCCTGGGTTAGCCCCCTGGGGAGACATGGCTAGGTTGGGCAGGACGTGGGTGTAGGCCTTGTGATGCCAACCCTGTGCCAGTCGGGAGGCCCAGGGCACAGGGATGACTGGGCTACCCAGCAAGCTGTTGGCTGTGCCGGGACAGACCCCAGGCTCCCAGTGGCCCTGCTCTGACACGTGGCTCTGTCTCCCCACCTGGGGGCAGCCAGGTCCCCCTCCCCACCCCGCCGCAGGAGACTGGCCATCCCTGCCAGCCTTGACGTTTCTGACAACTGGCTTCGTCCGGAGCCCCCTGAACAGGAAGCCCGAGCGCAGAGCTGGAAGGAGGAGGAGAAGAAACCTCACCTTCAGGGCAAACCAGGTCAGCCCCAGAGACACTACTGCTGTTTGGAGTGTAGGTGAAGGGAGCCTTCCTCTGAGGAGGTAATGCCTGCTGGGGCTTTGGAGGATGCATAGGAGCTCACAGGGCCTAGAATGGAGGGATAGCCTGGAGGAAGGACCCAGCCCTGTGTCCTAGGCCCTCCCTCGTGAATAGAGACCCCAGCTGTCTCAGAGCACCTTGTCACAGACTCCTGATGATCATGGAATGTCTGCTCCTGGCAGCTTGAGGGACTGGGGTGGTTGGGTGTTGCTGACCCGGAGGAGGGCAGGGTGCAGGGTGGGGCCGGGCCTGGAGGCCACTCAGATGTCGGTGGGGCTGGGGCAGGGCAGCCTAGTGGGTGTGCGGGTCATTAAGGAGGCAGGGCTGAGGCCAGCTGTGCTGAGGTCAGGACCCTTCCAAGCTGTGTCCTGGTCGCTTAGGGCCTGGTGGCCGAGGCCCCGGAGGCTCACCCTGCCCCTTTTCCAGGGAGACCCTTGTCCCCGGCCAATGTCCCTGCTCCACCTGGCGAGACGGTGACCTCCCCAGTCAGGGTGAGTAGCGGTGGGGAGCCGGGCAGGGTCCCAGCCCTCCGGCATCCTCACCGCCCCTCCATCCCCAGCTGCACCCCGACTACCTCTCCCCGGAGGAGATACAGAGGCAGCTGCAGGACATCGAGAGGCGGCTGGATGCCCTGGAGCTCCGCGGCGTGGAGCTGGAGAAGCGGCTGCGGGCAGCCGAGGGAGGTGAGCGCTTCGGCCTGGTCCTGGGCCAGCCCGACTCCCACAGACACCCTCAGTCCTGGGGCTAGGGGCCGTGAACCCTGGTGGGCCCCCCTGCCCCAGCTGGCTCCTCTCCCCAGATGATGCTGAGGACGGCCTCATGGTGGACTGGTTCTGGCTTATTCACGAGAAGCAGCTTCTGCTGAGACAGGAGTCAGAGCTGATGTACAAGTGAGAGCCCAGCCGCGTGCCCCTCCTCGAAGGCCAGGACCTCGTTGCAGGCTGGGCAGGCCAGGCCGGGGACAGGAGCGCAGAGTCAGGCCTCAGATGCGTGTCTCTGCAGCAGGTCCAGGCCCTTGTTGCTGTCTGGGTGGGCCAGGTGGGGGACGGGTGGTGAGTCAGGCCTCAGACGCGTGTCTGTGTGGCAGGTCCAGGCCCTTGTGCAGGCTGGGTGGGCCAGGTGGGGGACAGGAGCGGCAGAGTCAGGCCTAAGATGCGTGTCTGTGTGGCAGGTCCAGGCCCTTGCACAGGCTGGGTGGGTCAGGTGGGGGACAAGAGCGGCAGAGTCAGGCCTCAGATGCGTGTCTATGTGGCAGGTCCGGGCCCTCATTGTGGGCTGGGTGGGCCAGGCAGGGGACGGGGCGGCAGAGTCAGGCCTCAGATGCGTGTCTATGTGGCAGGTCCGGGCCCTCATTGTGGGCTGGGTGGGCCAGGCAGGGGACGGGGCGGCAGAGTCAGGCCTCAGACGCATGTCTGTGCGGCAGGTCCAAGGACCAGCGTCTGGAGGAGCAGCAGCTGGACATCGAGGGCGAACTGCGCCGGCTCATGGCCAAGCCCGGTGCGTCCCCCGTGCGCCAGCCAAAAGCCAAGGGGCCCCACCCCAGCCGGGGATGCCGCGGAGCCCAGAGTGCCTGGGGGCCGTGGTGAGACCTTCCCTGGAGCCAGGCGGGCCTGCATTCGAGTTTCAGCTCTCCCACCTCCTGGCTGTGTGTCCTCAGCCAAGGCACTTAACCTTGCTGTGCTTGGGTTTCAGTCCTTGCACAGTGAGAATGCTCGCAGTACCCACCTCACACGGCTGTTGTGAGGATTAAACACATCAATTCACTTAAGATATTTAGTGTAGCAACAGTCAGGGTGAGCTGTGGGCATTTGTCTTGTGATGCCCGGTGCCCTGGCTGAGGGCGCAGGCCGTGGCCATCCGCCTCTGTCCTTTCCTTGCTGTGTGGCGGGGACAACAATGCCCTGGGCCTCAGTGTCCGTATCTCTGTAGCGGGTGGTGTTTCTGCGAGATGATGGGGAAGGGTCCCAACACTCAGGCTCTGACATGGTGGTTCCTTTCTTCACTCATTCATTCACTCATTCATTCACTCACTGATTCATTCACTCATTCATTCACTCATTCACTCACTCATTCATTCATCACTCACCATCCGTTCATTCACTCACTCATCCGTTCATTCACTCCTTCACTCATTCATTCACTCATTCACTCATACACTCATTCATTCATTCACTCATTCACTCATTCATTCACTTATTCACTTATTCACTCACTCATTCACTCATTCATTCACTCATTCACTCACTCATTCACTCGCTCACTCATTCACTCGCTCACTCATTCACTCACTCATTCATTCACTCATTCACTCATTCACTCACTCATTCACTCATTCACTCATACACTCATTCATTCATTCACTCATTCACTCATTCATTCTGCTCCGGGTGTCCCCAAGACCACACCTTCCTCCTCCAAAAGAGGAGCCTGGCGCTTGGGTGGCAGGGACATTGTGTCCTGTGGGGTCATGGCAGTGGCAGCGGGGCGGGGGGGCTCCTGCTGACAGAGCCGTCCCCGCAGAGGCTCTGAAGTCCCCACAGGAGCGGCAGCGGGAGCAGGAGCTTCTGGAGCGGTACGTGAGCACCGTGAATGACCGCAGTGATATCGTGGACTCACTGGACGAGGACCGGCTCCGGTGAGGGTCAGGCGCCAGGGTCCCCTCCCAGCCAGGCCAGGACTGGTCACCTGGTCCATGCTCCCAGCCCTCAGGGTCAGCCGGCCCTGTAGAACTTTCTGTCCAGGCGGTTATCATCTGTGCTGACTGGTACAGCAGCCAGGGGCCACATGTGGCCATTGGGAACTTTTCAAAGTCCTTTTTTTTTTTTTTTGACATGGACTCTTGCTCTGTCCCCCAGGCTGGAGTGTAGTGGTACGATCTTGACTTACTGCAACCTCCACCTTCCAGGTTCGAATGATTCTCTTGCCTCGGCTTCTCAAGTAGCTGGGATTACAGGCCCACACCACCATGCCCGGCTAATTTTTTTTGTTTTTGGTTTTTTGAGACGGAGTTTCGCTCCTGTTGCCCAGGCTGGAGTGTAGTGGTGTGATCTCGGCTCAGTGCAACCTCCATCTGCCGAGTTCAAGCGATTCTCCTGCCTCCGCCTCCTGAGTAGCTGAGGTTATAGGCTCGCACCACCATGCCTGGTTAATTTTTTGTATGGTTTTCACCGTGTTGGCCAGGCTGGTCTCGAACTCCTGACCTCAGGTGATCTGCCTGCCTTGGCCTCCCAAAGTGCTGGAATTACAGGCGTGAGCCACTGTAACTGGCCATAAAGTCTTAGTTTTTTTTGTTTTTTTTTTTGAGAGGAGTCTCGCTCTTTTGCCCAGGCTGGAGCGCAGGGCGCAATCTCAGCTAACTGCAAGCTCTGCCTCCCAGGTTCACGCCATTCTCCTGCCACAGCCTCTCGAGTAGCTGGGACTACAAGCGCCCGCCACCACGCCCAGCTAATTTTTTTGTATTTTTAGTAGAGACGGGGTTTCACTGTGTTAGCCAGGATGGTCTCGATCTCCTGACCTCGTGATCCACCTGCCTCAGTCTCCCAAAGTGCTGGGATTACAGGTGTGCGCCACTGCGCCCGGCCAAAGCCTTAGTTTTTAACTTGAACTTCCAAGGCCACATGCGTCTCCTGGCTCCTGCACGGACTGTGTGACCATCCCCGACAGCTTTCCTATCTCATCTCATGAGGGGTCCAGCACATGGCACGCAGGGTTGGCAGCTGAAGTCCACCTCTGTGAGACCTTCTGGGAGCGTGAAGGGGCCTTGGCATGGGTTGGCCCAGGCCTCCTGTCCAGGTCACCTGTGTGGTCGGCCGAGGCCTCCTGTACCAGGTCACCTGTGTGGTTGGCCCGGGCCTCCTGTCCAGGTCACCTGTGTGGTCGGCCGAGGCCTCCTGTCCAGGTCACCTGTGTGATCGGCCCGGGCCTCCTGTACCAAGTCACTTGTGTGGTTGGCCCGGGCCTCCTGTCCAGGTCACTGATGTGGTTGTCCCAGGGCCCTCCTGTACCAGGTCACCTGTGTGGTTGACCCAGGCCCTCCTGTCCAGGTCCCTGGTGTGGTCGGCCTGGGCCTTCTGTCCAGGTCACTGTGGAGGGGCTGGCCCTGGAGAGGACAGGGACCTGGCATTGTTGGGAGCAAGGTCTCGACGTGAGGCCTGTCAGCAGGAAGGGGCAGGTGGCATGGGTCCAGGTGGAGCTCGGGGCTGGGGTACGGCTGCTGGAGACTCACTGGGGTGAGGCTGGCTGGAGACTGTCCGGTGGCCCCTCCAGAGCACGTTGCTATTGCTGTTGTCACTCACGGCCACCCTGGTCCCGTTTCAGGGAACAAGAGGAGGATCAGATGCTGCGGGACATGATTGAGAAGCTGGGTGACTGGGCCAGGGATGTTGGGGGCTGGGCTGGCTGGCTGGGTGGGCCGGGCCTCCAGCTTGGGGTGGGGGGCAGGTGTTGGGGCCCCCCTCAGCCTTGGTGACAGGACAGGCAGGTTCACCCTGAGGGTGAGAGCTCCTTCCCGCCACTAAGAGAGCCAGGGGCGGCTGGTGACCATGTGGTCATGGTGGGGACCAGCCCTCAGGGTGCCCAGTCGGGGCGGGTTCTCACATGGGAGGGCACAGGGCTTCCTGCGGGCTCGGAGGCCCAGGGTGGACTGTGGCCAGTGGAAGGGAAGGATGTTTCTGGCAGGGGGATTTGTGTGGGCTGCGGCCATGTGGCGATGAGCATGACCTCACTGTCCACCTGTGCCCTAGGCCTCCAGAGGAAGAAGTCCAAGTTCCGCTTATCCAAGATCTGGTCACCAAAAAGCAAAAGCAAAAGCAGCACCTCCCAGTAGCGGCCAGTGGGGCCGTGGGCTCGGCCCGGACCCGGCATTCGGACTTGGACTCAGGAAGGGCCTCCTGTCCCTACAAGGGGCATGTGGATAGCAGGGACCTGCGCTACCGTCTGTGGTCTCAATAAAGAAACGGACCACACGGCCCCGGCCTCCTGCGCGTCCTTGTGTTTGCCTCGGTGCCCCTGGGCGGTCCCGCACCTGCCCGGGGTCTCGGCTGCCTCCCAGTTCTGCCTGCAGCACGGACGTGCTCTGTGGCCTCGGGCAGGAGCTGATTGTCTCGGGGCCTGGCCCTCGAAGGTGGACCCTCTCACAGTTTCCTGGCACAGATGAGCTGGTGGGAGCCTCAGAGGAGGCGTCAGTGCAGACTGGAGCCTGGGAACTCTTGGGTGCTGGGGTCGCCACGTATCCGTGGCCTGAGAGGTGTGACCTCAGTCTCCCAGGACTGGGGCCTGGGATGGGGGATTATGAGTGGTGGCCCCTGGTCAGGGAGACTTCCTGGTGGCCGGGGCAGGACGTGGTGCACCCATCCTTTCTGACTCCCACTGAGTGGATGTCATGGGAGGAGCCTTGAGTCAGGAGTGCAGCTTCCCTGCAAGCCTCAGTCTCCCCATCTGTCGGGGAGGGGCCGGCTTCAGCTGCTTGTCGCTGCACTATTTCAGCTGCTGTGGGAGCCTCTGCAGCGGCCCTGGGGAACCCTCAGCTGTGGCAAAGCACCAGTGCTCTCTACCTGGTGGCTGGTGGGATCGAGACCCCCACGGGTCCCAGCAGGGCCAGAGCAGGTTCAGAGCCTGGAGCCCCTGCCGTGTGCACATGGGCTCTGGGGAGCTTGTGCTGGGCAGGCCTCTGGCGTTCTGTGGCCTTCACTGTCTGTGCCTTTGAGGGTCTCAGGTCTCCTGGAACGTGAGCTGGGTGTGGGGCGTGGAAGGGAGGGTGGGCTGGGGGACACGGATGGAGCACCGTCTCTGCAGTCACAGCTCTGCTCCTGGCAGCTGTTTGGCCTCGGGCTAGGGCACTGCCCTCTCTGAGCCTTTGGTGGATATGGGCTGCCTGGGGGCCACGTGAGGACTGGAAGGGCCCACCAGTGTGCCTGGGGCAGGGATGAGGGTAGGGGAGCACAGAGGTGCTCTCTTGCCCTCTGCTGATGGCGAGACCCCTGCTGCCTCCCTCTGTACCCCCTGCTCCCGCCGGCTACTCAGGGCCCCCATGGAGGGACAGGGGTTCCCCCAGGTGAGGCCATGGGTCACCTGCACACAGCAGTGAACAGCAGTGAGTGGGGAATGGGGCCCGTGCTCTGCCTGGCCCCGAGGCCTCTCTTGGCGTCAGGCCACTGGGATCGAATGTGTTGGTGGAAATGCCTGTGCCTTCCGAGGACCGGGAGGCGGCGGCCGGCAGCAGGGGGACCCTGGAGCCCCCAGGAGACTTCTGCGGGGGGGTCTCACCTGGGTATCGAGTAGGCGTCCCTCGGCGGATGGGCAGGGTGTGCCCTGTTGAAGGAACAGCACAGGCAATGATCTGCGAGCTTGAAGATGTGTGGTGGGGCGGGGCGGGTGATGGAGGGAGAGGGGCTCCGTCAGGGCCTGGGCTGGCGGCGACTCTCCAGGTGCAGCGACGTGGCCTCGTTCCTCTGGCACTGGGCGCCTCGGGTGGTTCTGAGCAGAAGCCCCAGGGCCTCTGCTGTGTTAGGAGCGTGACACTGTGGAGGGCGGTCTGGACCGGGTCCTGGAGCTGAGACTGCGGGTCCCCCTGGGACCTCAGCCCCCTGCTCGCGTCCCAAGGCCGGACCCACGGCAGTGTGGCCTCTTCACCACCAGGGGGAGGCAGAGAGCCACTTAGCGGTGAGGGGCAGCCGGGAACCCGAAATAGCTCCGTTCTCCAGGTAGGGAAAATGAGGCTGGGAGAGGGCTATGGCCTCAGGTCACACAGCAAGCGAGGTGGGGCTGGGGCGTGTGGCTGCGTAACATTTTTGAGACCGGAACAGGAAGGGAGTGTTGTCCAGCAAGTCAGGGGCGTGGGCACCTGGGGCTCGGTCCTGCTGTGGACTCACACCCTGGGGTGTCCCACCTCAGGGCCAGGAAGCTTCTGCCCGCACCATCAGCCCCCTGCATCTGGGAACCTCAGAAGCAGCCTTGGGGTACCAGGTGGGCTCCAGGCTGGGTACACGGTTGGTGCTCAGCAATCAGAGCCCTAGCAACAAGTGGTCAGGTCCCCCAGGCACTAAGCCAGCGCTGTGGGATGTCCTTGCTGTCCCCCAGGGGCCCAGTACCTGCAGACCCCGGTGACATCATGGTGAGACAGGCAGGAATGCAGCCCTGGGGCCATGGGCATTGGCCAGGCCCTGTGATGTCCGTGCTGCAGGAGGCTGTGAGGATGGGCGTGGGACCCTGGAGCAGCCACTCGGGCACAGGTGGGGCTGGCTGCGCCGCCACCCGGTTCCTGCAGAGGCTGCCCCGACCCCAATGTGGAAAGGTTTCAGCCCAGGCCCCACCTACCCTAGACGACGCCCTACAACTTTCAGGGAGGGCAGAGGCACGCAGCTCACCAGTGGCCTGGCTGGATGTCACCCACACCTGCCAGAGGCTCCGGGACATCGTCTCGTGCATGTACACGTGGCAAGCGCTCCGTGCACATCAGTGGCTTTCTCTCTGCAGACGTGGCCAGGAACAGCCAGTCTTCCTGAATAGATATGGGGGTGGGTGGGGCCGCAGAAAAAGGGAGGAACTGTTCCCTGACCCGCACTCCCGGCAGCCCCTGTATCTGTGCTGGTCTCAATACTGCAGCCTCAGGTCTGGGGAGCAAGGGCTTGAGGAGTGTTCTGGGCTCAGGGACCAGTGTGGTCCTTCTGGTGAGCTCTAGGGTGGGGAGCTGACACTGGCCCCGTGTGGCTGCAGCAGGAGGGACAAGGAGGGAGGCAAGGCTGGGCCAAGCAGGGTCTCCACTGGGATGCTTGGAATTCGGACTTGGACTTGAGTGGCCCCTCCAGGCCGGGCACAGGGGGCCAGCCCAGCCATTACAGGGCACTGGTCTGTGGGAGGGTGGGGGCAGCTGTTCACCCTTTGGGAAACCGGGACAGGCTTGGGCTGCTTCCCAGGAGTTCCTCCAGCGTCACCCCCTGTCATCCTCGCCCCCTCCGCTCCGGCTTCCCGGCCTTGGCCACGGCCATTTGCATTTGCTGGTCCTGCTGCTGGGACCCCTGCGCTCCACACGGCGGTCATCCTGCTATCTCTGCTTAACTGTGCCCTCTTCAGAGAGGCTCCCTGCCCCCACCCTGATTTATTTATTTCTTTTTAGAGGCAGGGTCTCACTTTGTTGCCCAGACCACTGCAGTGGTGCGATTATGGCTCCCTGCAGCCTTGATCTCCTGGGCTCAAGTGATCCTCCCACTTCAGCCTCCCAAGTAGCTGGGACCCCCGGCCCACACCACAATGCCCAGCTTTTTTTTTTTTTTTTTTTTTTTTTTTTGAGACGGAGTCTCGCTCTGTCGCCCAGGCTGGAGTGCAGTGGCGCAATCTCAGCTCACTGCAAGCTCTGCCTCCCAGGTTCACACCATTCTCCTGCCTCAGCCTCCCGAGTAGCTGGGACTACAGGTGCCCGCTGCACACCCGGCTAATTTTTTTTTTCTATTTCTACTAGAGATGGGGTTTCACCATGTTAGCCAGGATGGTCTCGATCTCCCGACCTTGTGATCCGCCCACCTCGACCTCCCAAAGTGCTGGGATTACAGCTGTGAGCCACCGTGCCCGGCCACGCCTAGCTAATTAAAATTTTTTTTTTTGTAGAAACAGGGTTTTGCCATGTTGCCCAGGCTGGTGTTGAACTCCTGGCCTCAAGCAATCCTCCTGCCTTGGCGTCCCAAAGTGCTGGAATGACAGGCTTGAGCACACGGCCACCCTGGTTTATTTCCAACACTCGGAACTCACCTGTGTTTAGACGCTTGTTTGGGCTTCCTCTCTGTGATGGATCCTCTGGAGGTCCGGGCTCCTCCATCTTTCTGCCACACCGTTCTCAGTGCCTAGAACAGTACCTGGCACACAGCAGGAACCTACTGAGGATTTGTTGAATGAATGAATGACACCAGGGCTCAAGGCCACTCCAGGACTCAGTCTTCTCACCTGTCAAGGGGGCTAGCACCCGGCCCAGAGTTGGTAGCTGGTCTACTGGTCCAGGGAGACAGACCTGCCTGAACCTGACTGGTTTTTTATTTGTGGGACCCCAGGGGCTGCCCCTGCCCTGCCCGGGGTGGAAGGATTAAATTAGGTCTCATGAGTAGTGGAGCCACTGCCAGCGGGCACACACCAGGCACCTCATGCCCTACCCGGACTGGCTGAGCAGGGGAGGGACAGGGAGGAACTCGGGAAGAGGGCACAATGTCTCTTGGGGGGTTTTCTGGGCATCTCAGAACAGGGGGCCGCCCTGTTCCCTGGGGCCCAGAGAGGGAGCCCAGCCCTGGCCCCGAGTGATGAGGACAGCCCCGCCAGGCCTAAAGACCAACCCCCACCCCGACCTGTGTAGGCTGTGGGGTCCCGGTCCGGGCCTGGGAAAATGTCATAGCTGGGTTGCCCAGCAGGGAGTGGGGGACTGACACGCAGAGCAGACCCCAGTCACTTCCATGGCGGGGCCCCCTCACCCCTGCGGGCCCGTCTGCCCTGCCCAGGCCTCCTCCTCCAGCCCCGCCCCTGATGCACAGGAACTGGCTTGGCTCTTCCCACAGACAGCACCTCAGCTACCCCCAGACCCCTTTTCAGAGTAGGGCGTTGAGGCCAGAGAGGGGAGGGGCCTTCCCAGGGCGGGCCCAGCTTGGGCTGGGGACAGGGGGGCTACTCCTGGCTGGGGCAAGAGTTGGAGGGGTCTCCGATGGGGGCATGGTCACGCCCTGTACCATGAAGCCCCTCACAGAAACTAGGGAGTCGTGGGCAACACTCTGTTCCTGTGAGGGGGGAAACTGAGTCACAGAGTGCCCAGGGCCCCACGGCAGGAGTAGGCAGGGGTTGGTTTTTGTGCCTCGGCCTTTATCTGGGAGGAGGCAGGGAGCAGAACTCAGACTCCCGCAGTGAGGGCCCCCCATGTGACTCTGCTGCACGGCCCCAGTTGGGGGCTCCCTAGGGGAGGGCCTCTGGGAAGCCCACAGTTACCCCCGAGGTAGCAATGTCTG